ACGCGAATGTAACGTGTGTCCATGGGATCCAGCCTGACGTCACTTTCTGAATCTTGAGTGCTCGAAACCGACTGAACTTTACTGGAAAGGTCACAGATTTCTCCTCGCAGCATTCTGACCTTCAGCCACATTGTTGTGCTTGTTCGTTTTTTTAAATTGTCCTGCTGAGCGTTGATCTGTTTTTTTATTGTCGTTTTATGTCAAGAGCTCTGTTCCAAAAGTGATCGCACTCCCTACCCAGACAAGTCATACATAGTTATGAATCCTTCTAAGATACCTAATTTTGGCCACATTCTTTTTCTTTCTTTAAGGCAACATCGCTTGTATAATTATTAGGGTTGGGTATCGTTTGAATTTGAACGATTCTGATTCCGATTCCGATTCCTTGTTTCGATTCCGGTTCCTAACGATTCTCGATTCCGATTCTTTTAAGAGGCAGGGTCAAAAAAGTTTAGCTAACCTTGCCAACCAACGGTCTTTTTGAAGGAAATAAAACCTTTCTGAAGGAAATACTCCTCTCACAAATACTCCTGTTGTCACAAATTTTGCATTTTGCCGAGATTTCGTTATTTTTAGAAAAGTGAAGCCACACTTTGGACTGCCGACGTAAGCTACTCATGTTCGACTCGCGTGGTTATGCCAACACTTCCGGTAGACGCTTCTTCGTTGGTGTTGTTCAGCGGTTTCTTCTTCCGCTCGGCGGACTGTGAATATCGAAACTAGGAATCGAAATTTTAACTTTTGAACGATTCCGGGAAAAACGAAAAGTTAGTCCCGATTCCAATCGATACTCGATTCTCGATACCCAACCCTAATAATTATCCCAGAATAAACTGTAAAAATCTCAGTGAAAATCATATTTCCACATGGCAGACAAGTCAAGACAAACGCACACTTTGCTTCCTGAAAAGTATTAATAAAAATCTAATAAAAAAGACCATCTATTCTAATTATAGAACTTTTTAAGATACCTAATTTTGGCCAAATCCTTGATCTTTGTTACTCTTAAGTCCCGCTGTGGTTAAAATCCAGCTATTAATGTTGTTTATATGTCTATGTGGTTTTTTATATATGCTTAAAAACTGAAAAAAGACAGTCTCAAAAACGTGGTTTGAAATCGCTGGTGTTTGTAACCAATCAGATCAATGTGATTGTCAACAAGTGGATCTCTGAGCTGCTGTGAGTGAGTGAAGGCGAGGCTAATTTGCATATTCATAGAACCGCGTATAATAAATGAGGCAAGGGTGTAGTTACGGTTAAGCTATTTTAAGGTATGGCAGATTTTTTTCAAGGAAAAAATGTTTCAATATGTAATTTTGGTGGGATAAAATGATTGACTACAGAGGAACTTTAAGACAGGGCTCAACGCTAAGGATTTTTTATACTGGCCTGTTTGGGAAAAAAACGGGCGATTTGATGTCTAAAATGTAAGTCACTTAATATTAAACTGTACGTTGTATAAAATCAATGTTACATTTATAATCATGCTGATATTTGGAGAAAAAACAACGCTCTTCGTGTAATATTGGTTAACTACATTAAATTATATAAATATATAAGACAAATAGGGGCATGTACGCCCCTTATGTTGAATCTGTGGGTATTTTAAATGCATTTTAATAGACTAATCACGCTGTAAAAGCTTGCGCTCTAAATGTGCACACCCACTAGTCTAATATACTAGACTGCATCGCGTATATGCGTGTATTCAATGGGTGTGTTTTTGTTTGTTTTTTGTGAAGTGAGGGACCTACTCGATAATGTCAGATCATTAAATCAACAATAATGTTATCATATACGATATATAGGTCGTACACCTCGATCGGGCAAGTGACAGGTCCCTAGCGTCGTTCACTGGCCGCCCTGTTAAGGCATAAAACGGTTTAATCGAATAAAAAAAGATTATTTTGTCAATATTTGTTTTAATATTAGTAAAACGCTAACAATAAACACTGGTCGAGCGTTTCAAAACAGTTTTTTTCAGGTAGGATACTGCCTAATAAGGCAGCTGTCTAGGGGGTTCACACTGTTTTGGAACAGAGCTAATGTGCTTTTGTGAGTCTATGCCCACCAGCAGTATTTTCATTGATTTGCATTAATTCTGTCCCTTGTGGTGAGCTTTAAGGCATCATTTAACAGTTCATTCACAGTCCATTCAGTTTAACCTGTTGATTAATATTAAAGTCAGAGCGCCAGTCTAGCAAACAAAAATGAATCCTAAACTAAACCCTCATAAGCAGATTACTGATGTTTAGACAGCTCAAGTCATGCAAATCTGCCTGGAAGAATGAGGGTATTCCCAAGAGTTTCAGCTGGAATCATTTCAGTGTGTATTTCTCTTGGTGAATCAGGAGTGTAAAATTGATAAATATCTGAAAAAGATTAAGGCTGACACTAACTGTTATTGTACTAAGAGTAATTATTTTGCCGATTAATCAGGTAATCGGGTATTATTTGTAATAAATATACCCGATTAATAGCAATTATATTTGGTTCACATAAATAGAGCAACACTGTTAAAAGGTTAGTTCACATTAAACATAACGTATGGCGACTGTAGAACGCAAAAGCCGAATCCCGGACATTTTGGGCGATCTCGAAATCTCGGGCAGACTCATAACAGAGACTCACTAGTAGCCTAGACTTGTTGTTTAACGACTGCGCTCTGTTACCGGCAGTGTTGGGTAAGTTACTCTAAAAAAGAAATTAATTACTAGTTACTGATTATCTTTTCAACAGTGTAATTAGATTATTGTACTAAATACTCTCTCTAAAAAGTATTTAATTACGAATTTCTTTCAAAATCCCATATCAATCTCAACCAGCTGAATAATACAAGGATAGACATGAATCTGTTTTAATTCTTTCAAATAAATACTATAAAATTGCATGAATTATCCTTACACTGATCAAGGTGGAGAAGGTTACATTATAAAAAAATAAGTTTTAGCATCAGATAATACATTTTGATGTTAAACCCACGATTTTTTGTGTCATTTCACACTTTTTTCATACATATTTTACAATAATTCATACGAATTTGCACGAGTGCGGTCGTACAATTTAGACACCTCATAAAATGCATACGGCTCGCTGTGAGATCGGATTGATCTATACACAGTATTTACCTCAATCACATCAGAAGTAACTGTAATTAAATTACAGAGAAATGAAGAGTAATCCCTTACTTTACATTTTCAAGGGAAAAGTAATTAAATTACAGTAATTAGTTACACCCAACACTGGTTACCGGTAGGCGTGGCCTCCTAAGGCAGTGAAGCAAGTGCATTCTGGGAGTTGTTGTCTTTCACCCACATAAGCCAAAAATACATTTTCTGTCTAAAAAGCTCCAAATTCAAAAATAATGTCACATTTCCTCTACATAAATGACCCATTTTAAATACACATCCATCTTTCCAGAGGTGAAGTATCCCTTTAATACATCATGTAGCCTTAGAAAACGGTCTAATAATGCAATTCATGGATTCTCGTTCGTGGAATGTGTTAATTCTAGTATTTTGCCGGTCACTCGACACAGGTAAATTGCAATCGAGGATTTTTAAAAAAAAATCAAGTACTCAAATTTAAAGGGTTAGTTCACCCAAAAATGAAAATTCTGTCAGTATTTACTCACCCTCATGTTGTTCCAGCCCTGTAAGACCTTCGTTCATCTTCGCAACACAAATTAAGATATTTAAGATATTAAGATCGCTCCTGCATACAGTCCATAGGCTTCTTGAGGGACTCTTACTGTCCTCGAAAAGTCATTAAAGACATCGTTAAAATAGTCCAAGTGACTACAGGGGCTCAATCTTAAGTTTATCAAACGACGAGAACACTTTTGTGCGCAAAAAAACAACAAAAATAACGACTTTATTTCAACTATTCGTTTATTTCTCCCTCTGCGCGAGTCAGGTTACTAGTTTAATAGCGTAAGCTTCTGTTATTGTACGTCACACGCATCACACACACATGACCAGCGTCGGCCAATAGTGAGCCTACGTGTGACGTAGCTCTACGCAATCATACTACGTTAACTGACTTACAGGCCCATGGAGAAGGAAGTGAATAGTTGAAATAAAGTCATTACTTTTGTTGTTTTTTTGCGCACAAAAGTGTTCTCGTCGTTTGATAAACTTAAGATTGAGCCCCTGTAGTCACTTGGACTATTTTAACGATGTCTTTAATGACTTTTCGGGGACAGCAAGAGCCAGTCCCTCAAGAAGCCTATGGACTGTATGCAGGAGCGATCTTAATATCTTAAATATCTTAATTTGTTTTCCGAAGATGAACGAAGGTCTTACGGGGTTGGAACAACATGAGGGTGAGTAAATACTGACAGAATTTTCATTTTTGGGTGAACTAACCCTTTAATCAAGGAATCGTGACAGCCCTAAAAGGTCTTTCATTCTTCAGGGGAAATATTGGTTCCACATAGATGCAATCTCTTCTACAGTTCTTAAGGAGATGTAAAAACAGACACAAATGAGGCAAGTGTAACATTTGTGCCGGTGTTCTGTCGATTTTTGTTGCCTTGTCGAAAAATGCTACCGTAGCGCGAATTGATCACAGAATGCCGATAAAAGTGGTATGAAATACAATTATAATACAATTCTAAGTTATGAGTAGCTACTGTATACTGTAGACTACTGTTTTTATTTTTAAAACGGTGTGAAAAGTAAAAATTATCATAAAATATTCATCTTTGACTTGTCAAAGTACACCTTTCCTCATAGTAACTGAAACTTTCAGTTATTCTTTTTCAGCTGGCTGACCGTACAAATATTCATATGGTAGTAAGCATTTTTAAAGGGAAATTATACATTATAACAGGAAAATGTACCTTTTGTAAAAAAAAAAAAACTATGAGTCTGCACATGCGCATAACCAGTAAGTAGCAAATCTCGATGGGTAGCATGAATTTTCAGAACACCGGTCATGATGGGATCTCATCTAAAACGGAGAAGACACATGAGATTACTGGGTTTAGTGAGTCGTACCGGTCTCTCCCCACACGGGCAGGTACTCGTCCTGCTGGATGTCCAGCATCAGCTCCAGGCCATTCCCCATCCCTCCCTTCATAGTGACCAGCAGTGGCCGCCCGTCCTGCCCCGAGTTGAAGGTGTAGCATTTTCCATAGCGTGTGAAGATCTGAAATAAACAGAGAGAATTTGTCTGTTACACTTTTCTCACTCGTCAAAAGCAAGCAATATACAGAATCATGTTTAAAGATTTTCCAGTGATCACAGCCACATACATTCATCAAACGCCTGTATACTGTTATAAATAAAAAGTCGAGTTATAAGTAATACAGTCGAGGTGTTCCATGTATGAAAGCCTTTTATGCCAACAGAAGTGTATTCATTAAAGTCAAGAGTTCAAAGGCACTTCACAACAGGAATGAGTCAGTTGCACTTCCCGCTTTCAAGTCCGGATTCAGGAAATGATCTGATTAATTATAGAGCATCTCTAACGGGTGACGTGGTCTACACTCGGGCAGAGGTGCTCATGCCGCCAGTCTTAATTGAAACTGAACTAATGGACATCTAATCAGATCACAGACAGCAGGATATGGAGAGTGTGGCGTTTTAGAAACACAACCTCGCTGCGGGACCATCTGATTACCATCGGGGACAAATACGAGAGTTTCGGTGTGGAGGAAATGAAACGGCCACGTCTTTAGAAAACATATAACGAAAGAAAATGCCAGCAGCTCTCCAGGGAATGACATCAATGTAAAAGAAATGCAACATGTGTTCTCTTTGAGATTGAAACCTCTCAAAGACATTGAAAGATGTGTCAGATCAGTTTGTGTGATGAAATGCTGCCGATAGAGAGATGAATGGTTGATTCAGCTAATGCACAGATGGAGCGTTTATACACATCCTGGCAAAGACAAGACAAAAAAAAAAAAGAGAGAAAGATACAGATTCTTTTTTGAGACTGAACTGCGTTTCTATGAGATTCTAGATGTCCTTGAGACAATGACTGACATTCTTTTTTACACATTCTTTAAAAAAAATAAAATGCCAACACGGACGCATTGCAATGAATCGTTCGGTAAAAGAAGCATGTTCAGAATTACAGGCACAAGGCCCGTTTATTTGTGTTAATTATTACACAATTACAAACCATATTTTATATAGTATCACTATTATAATTATCTGTTGTAAAATACAAGGCTGAAAAATCATTCATCAAAAACAATGTAAGCCAGCTAGGTCATTTTAGCAAGATTTATATTTGACAAGCAGATTTCACAAACAAATGCCACAGAAAACCAAATGTTTAAAGGAGTAGTTCACTTCTAAAAAAAACTTTTTCTGATAATTTACTCACCCCCATGTCATCCAAGATGTCCACGTCTTTCTTTCTTCAGTCGAAAAGAAATTAAGGTTTTTGATGAAAACATTCCAGGATTTTCTCCATATAATGGACTTCAATGGGGTCCAAACGGTTCAAAGTCCAAAAGTGCAGCTTCGAAGGGCTTTAAACGACACCAGACGATGAATAAGGGTCTTATCTAGGACCCTTCGAGTCATGACTCGAAAAAAGATTTAAAGCCCTTTGAAGCTGCACTGAAACTCTCATTTGGACCTTGAACCGTTTGGTTCCCATTGAAGTCCATTATATGGAGAAAATCCTGGAATGTTTTCATCAAAAACCTTAATTTCTTTTCGACTGAAGAAAGAAAGACGTGGACATCTTGGATGACATGGGGGTGAGTAAATTATCAGCAAAAGTTTTTTTTTTTTTAAAAGCGAACTACTCCTTTAAGTTTGCAATGCATAAAATAAATACTTAGATATGTAATATGACCAAAAACTCTACAGCACTGTCTCAGACTCGGCAAGTGATAGTTCAGTTTAAGGGACAATTCACCCAAAAATGAAACATTTTACTTCCCCAGTATTTTGGTTTTTCATGCTATGGATGTCAAAGTGGTCCATCACATTTGTGTTTACCCATATTCTTCAAAATATCATATTTTGTGTTCAACAGAAGCAATATACTCCTACAGGTTTGGAGCAACTCGAGGATGGGTAAATTATGACAAAATGTTATTTTTTTGGGTGATTATAGGCCAACTTGTGAGCTTCTTACATAGACAGCATTTTGGGCAGTTAAATAATCGATTTGGACGTTCAGAAAGCACATACGATGCCCAAAAAAAACATCCACAAAAATGCTTTTAAAAGCTCATGTTTAAATGCATCAGAGCAATTGTTCCCTTTTGCCATTACCGATAATAAGTGCTCCAGAGCTTCTTCAACATCTAAACTACTCCCGATGAGATAACAGCCTATTAATCGTTTAGCAAACATAATCAAGGCTGTTGCCAAGACGAGTTGCTGTGGTAACCGTGGCAACACAGAGTAGTCGGTAAGGGCGACGTTGACCTTGGGACCCAGGAGAGTCGATGCTAGCGGAAAGTGTTGTGGCGTCTCTCTGAGAAACTTTACAATGAAGTTTCCACGACAAGGCCGCCGGTCCATTGAGTGCGGATGCCTGCTTGTTATTTTCGCCTTCATGACGACCTTTATTTGCTAACAAAGCTTTTGAAAATGTGTACAATAGCCAAAAGGCTTCACAAGCCGCTCTACAAGGAAAATGGGTTGGGGGACACACTGTATATTGTTATTTTGAGGCTTGAAATTCATTCGTTTATTTGTCAGCATTTATAAAAGTCGGACTTAAAATACTTTGTTAAGGGTTTGGACACATCACTAAACCCTAAATAAGAGCAACAGTACTGGCAATGCTTCACCGAAACAACACTTACCAAACGGAGCTCTAACGTGTGTTAAATTTTTAGTGCGAAAACATCTTGTGTGTTTCTGTTGCTTTAATACACGAGAACAGCCTCCATTGGGAATGAAGCCATCAATAATACATTATCATTTTTGCCCTTTGTAACGGGACTTCATGAAAAATGGAACGGCTTTAAAACTTTCTGGCGTTGAGGGGACTTTGAGGGAGCCAAACGCTCTGATCTCCGAGTAGACCGCTGTCAGTTGGCAGACGCTGTTCAGAGACTCAGTCGACTGGAATCACAGGGGAGGCGCGGAGAACTCACAGCCTTAATCAGCGATTTCTTTGAAAATAAAATCTAGTCTGCGTAAAAAGCCATGAGTACTTCAAAATGCAATGAAGATCTTAACTCTTTCCCCGCCAGCATTTTAAAAAAAGTTTCCAGACACCACCAGCATTTTTTAATCCTTTTCACATTGTCATGTGACCATTGTCATGGCCCCCCAGAATGTTGTAACACACACACACACATAAAAACGTTTTATTATAGCTTCATGCATTATTTTTATTCACACTTGAATGTCGTTAAGTTTCATTAAAAAAACATAATTTTGAGAAAAACGTTTTTGTCAATGACTACATCCAGATCTGATTCAAAATGATGAAAACAGTCTATCAACACCCCCACAGCTTCACAGTCCTATCGCTCATCCTGAGTCCACAATTTATTCAGTAACATTAGTCAGTTTTGAATTATATGCTGTTTAATGTTATTTTACATATGCATGTGATTAAATATGCTATCTTCATATGCTATCTTTCAGAAGATGGGTAATAGCGCCCCCTTACAACATAGCAGTGAAAACACAAAGTCGGAAAATTTCGTCAATGACACAATTTGACAAAATTTTCGTCAAATTTTCGGAAAAGAGTGAAGAAGTGAATAAATGTTATGCAAGCTGCATTAAATTCAAAAGAATTTACTTATTTCCATATGTGCCAATTTTGGATCAATTGAGAAGATTTACCATCAATATTTTTCCATCAGGACCACTATCGCCTGCTTAGTTTTCTTCATTGACAGTTAATGTCAACTATTGTGTTAACACAAACTTATGGTAAAAGATTACAAGTTTTATATACTTTATATAAATAAATATAGCAAATAGCAGGTGTATAAAACCTTAAAATCTTTTTTTTAAACACTTGTAAGAATGTAAGATTTAGTACGTTTTGGACCTTGGAATGGATGCATCTTAATCAGGTGTCCTAAGTACTTGACGAGTGTGTATGACTTGTGTGTAAGAACTTGTACATAAAAGGAAATAAAAGGAAATATAGTACAAGTTGAAACATAATCTGTTCAATTATAGGTGGCAGTATTTTAATACCCACTCAGAAAAACCCAACATATTTATCAACACAAAAGGAGGCAAACCCTATGAAATATCATGAAATATGAGTGATTTCAAAATTGCATTGTTTTTTTCTTGCAGCCCGAGACAAAAAACGCCTATTATTTATTTATTTAATGCTTTCTTCCACATGCCTGTAACTCCACAAAGCAATTTCACAATCCACCTTACGCAGCAGGGCCAGAAATAGAAGACGATACGTCACTATTAGCTTCCACTTCACCGTGATAGAAGTGAGGCTGCCGAAGAAGACGCGGCTCCGGTGTCTCGCGAGCGTGACTGATATACCCATCAGTACTGATCAAGATCAGCGCAATGACAGTTGCGCCTTCTGGAATGAATAATTCACCAAGACCCAAACGGCACCGTGCCGCCCGCTCGAGGGCTGCCCGCGCACCACGGCGAGCTCCCAGCAAGCTAAAGCTGTTTGTCAGAGTTGTCAAAAGACTTTGATTGCAAAGCTTGCGTGTCTAATAAGCTGCACAACTCACTGTCCAGGTTGCCGCAGCTGGTGGCTTCAGAAGCGCGATGGCTCTGCGCTTTCACGACGGATCAGATCAACGCTGCTGAATCGGAAAACGACTAAATTATATACGAACAGTGAAGCCAAAGTCAAGCTGTTGAACCTGTCACATGCTTTCCAAATCAGACAATCTTCAGTCAGAATATGCAAGACACTCAATTGAACATGACAGGTTAACTTAGCATGGTTTCGCGAACAATTTACACAAATCTGTTCCGCTCATGTTGCAAAAAAAGGCCCAATCTTGATTAAATAAACACCTATGGCTATCATGAAGCAAACAAACCCATAATTTGGCTTTAAATGATTGGGAAGATAGTGTAAAAGCTATGGGGACTACTTTTATGGAGCATTTTGAGGGGTTGGAACCACATCATTTTTATTTATAAGTGAATTATTTTAAGTATTCAGACTAAAATGTCTGTGTTTGAAAGTGTGTGGGTTAGATCTTTAAGGCTAAA